TATGAATTAGGAATCATTTTGGAGCTTTTAAATGGTTACTATTGCGAATTTCGTTTTCTTTTTGCATCTATTGCATTCGAATTTTTATCCTATTAAGGAAACATGTAGGATATGTAGATGATATGAAATTAATAGTAACATACTTGTATTTATTTGTGTATATCAGCATCCTACTTTAAAATCATTGTATTATAGCAAAAGAACGAAGTGATGAGCCTCAAATTCATCTATCTTTTTTTAATTGGGCTTAGAAGTAAGAAAACAAACATGACTTATTTCACCTAACTAATGTTCCTATAACTCATTGAGATAATTAATGTTATCCAATGGAGAAAAGTAATCAAAAAGTGAGACATGACTAATCAACGTCTCATTAATGATTTGTAATTTCCCTTTAAACTCTGCTTTTGTCTCCTCCCGTTTTAGCTTCTTGCCAATCGGTGTGGTTTTTTCATTTATATGCTTATCATATTCGTCATTTTCAAAAAAAGAATCCAAGTATCTTAAAAAATAATCATATCATAAAACAAATAATAAATTCATGGATATTAAAAATCGAGAAATAATACCAATTTTTGTCAGGTCTTTTCTTTCAAACACATTGAACTTACATTAAAAACATATTTTAACAATATAATGAAAAATTATCATTATATATATATATATATATATATATATATATATATATATATATATATATATATATATATATATATATATAATCATGGTTGTAGAACTCGCTACTCGGTACCTGTTCGTGTTAGGATCGAGACACTTAACACACGACTCTAAACACACATACAGCTCACGAAAAACAAGAACACAAGCATGAACATGAGGGATTTAACGTGGTTCGGTCCTTCTCTGACCTACGTCCACCGGTAACTAGGAATTTATATTTCTTGGTGCTAATCCGCACTCTTTCTGTGTTACTCTAGATACGAGTTTTACAAATACAGATGAATCTCTTATATAGAGATGGAAATCAGAAGTAGTCAAAAACACAATCGGGTCTTCAGCCAACCTTTGAAAAAACTTTACATTCAACAATTGTGGCTTCACAACTTCACATTATTCCTGCCATTTTTGACCATCCGTGGCTTCACATTCAACAATCTCCCACTTGAAGCCACGGAACAATCTTCACCTGTGCTTCAATTGTGCATCTGTATTTGATCTTAACTCCTTCCTAGTTACCCTGGCCTTCTCTTCAATTAACCTGAAGGCCAGTTGAAGCTTTCGTTAGCTCCAACGCATCAGTCATGGCTAAGTCTGCCACTGACCTGTTCTCTGTCTCCACCGGCTCCCACTGAAATGAACTGCCCGATCCTGGAACATCCTGAGAACAAACGACACTCTCCATGTGAAGCAGATAATCTGGAGAGACTTTTACAGATGGAATACTGGTTCTCTTAACCCACTGTGTTCTGGGTATTCTAGCTGAAACAAAGCCCATGCTCCCACTGCTATGAATGCCCTTGACTGGTTTTTCTGAACCGTTCCAAACACGTTCAACCTGAATCTGACCTGTGACTCTGGGTTTGCCATCTGCAAAGCAAACCTTCTTCTGTCCACGAGACTCTATGAACCGGATTTTGTTTTTCTTCTGAACTGGGACGGTTACTCCCTCAGACGGTAAACTAACCATATATAATGAACCCCTCTTATGTCCACGAGCGATCACAAGATTTCCTTTGACAACCTTCCACTGCTCATTCCTGAACTTAACCTCGTGTCCCTGTTCATCCAACTGCCCAACAGAAATCAACTGTTTCTTCAGACTTGGAATTACCCGGACATCCTTCAAAGTCCATGGACCGACTGGAGTCTTCAGATCTAAGTCACATATGCTCGTCACATCAAGAACCTCATCGTTCGCCAGTCTTACCTTACCAAAATCCCCTTCTTTCAGATTCCGTAGTGCTTCATGGTTGTGGGTAGCGTGAAATGAAGCACCCGAATCCATAACCCAGGAATCCACATTGCTCTCCACACTACAGATCAAAACATCATCATTTGAATGGTCTACTGCAACGTTAACTTCTTTCTTGTCTTTTGGACATTGATTCCTGAAATGTCCAACCTCTTTACAGTTCCAACAAGTCACATCATTTCGAGTCCTCGACTGACTCCTTCTCCTGTTCCCGCTCCCACTACCTCTGTTATTTCTTCTACCTCTGACCGCATTCAATTGTTCACTTGATGATTCCCCGGAATTTCTTCGTCTGACGTCTTCGCCTAGAATTAAATCTCGAATTCCCTCAAAAGTTAGCTCTTTCGATCCTGCGGAACTAGTAACGGCTGTAACTGTTCCAGACCAACTGTCATGTAATGATGATAACAGTAGTAAAGCTTGAACTTCGTCCTCAAATTTTATTCCCACTGACCCAAGTCTGGATAAAATCGAGTTCAAATTGTTGATGTGTACTGTAACTGAACTTCCTTCCCTCATCCTCGTGTTGACTAGTTCCCGAATCAGGAAGACTCTATTTGCTGCCGACGGCTTCTCGTACATATTAGACAATGCCTCCATGATTCCCTTTGCCGAGGTCTCCTTCAAAATATTGAAGGCAACATCCTTTGACAACGTCAGTCTAATAAATGCCTTGGCCTTCTTATCCAAAGTCTCCCAGTTTGCCTGTGTCATCGTCTCCGGTTTTTCACCTAAAACTGCATCCAAGTCTTTCTGCACGAGCAAATCTTCAATTTGCATCTTCCACCAACCAAAATCTTTCCCATCAAACTTCTCAATCTGAAGCTTACTGCTTTCTGGCATTTTCTGAAAGAACAATAACCTATCTTGCAATTTTCTAGAAATTCAGGGGCCAAATTGCAAATTTTCAAATCTGCTACAGTGTTGCTACAGAAACTGCTACAGTGTCTGCTGACGTCGTGCTACAGTTCCTGCTACAGTGTCGTCTTCTCCGGCGGACTGCTACAGTGTCGTCTTCTCCGGCGGACTGCTACAGTGTCGTCTTCTCCGGCGAACTGGTTTTCCCGGTCACTATTCCGGCAAACCTTTGACCGGCGATTTGGACGTCTTCCGGTGGTCAAAAAAATCAGAAAAAAATATTTTCGGAATCTTCGGAACGAGACCTTTCCAACGGTATACACCAAAATCGTTTTTGACGAAAAAAAATTTCGACCAAAAAACAGAAAATCACCCTCTGGAGCTAAACCAAGGCTCTGATACCACTTGTTAGGATTGAAACACTTAACACACGACTCTAAACACACACACAGCTCACGAAAAACAAGAACACAAGGATGAACATGAGGGATTTAACGTGGTTCGGTCCTTCTCTGACCTACGTCCACCGGTAACTAGGAATTTATATTTCTTGGTGCTAATCTGCACTCTTTCTGTGTTACTCTAGATACGAGTTTTACAAATACAGATGAATCTCTTATATAGAGATGGAAATCAGAAGTAGTCAAAAAACACAACCGGGTCTTCAGCCAACCTTTGAAAAAACTTTACATTCAACAATTGTGGCTTCACAACTTCACATTATTCCTGCCATTTTTGACCAGCTGTGGCTTCACATTCAACAGTTCGGCCGGACTACCTAGTACAGAGTACTCGGGGAGTACTCGGATTCGATATTTCATGTATAAATATATTTAGGGAAAATATATATGTCAAAATCATAAGTTCAAACCATAAGTTGATCAAAATATATAACAAAATTAGATACATGTGAATATACAAAAACTGAAAAGCATACAATGGTCTCACTTCATGAATAATTACTGAAAATATAAGATATATATATATATATATATATATATATATATATATATATATACATATATATATATATATATATAGTAATAATCACATGTGTGCGTTAAATGATAAAGGATTAAGTATACTATACATATTAATCACTGAGTTGGCCTAGTTTTACAACACTGCTCACTTCAATAATGGGCCGATCGAGGAGTACTCGCATTCTGTAACTCGCCTCGGTAAGGGGCCGAGTAGGGGGTACTCGGACGAGTAATCGGTCAAGTCAACGAGTTTTACAACACTGTATATAATATAATATACAACAAGGAGTTGCTGCTAATATGTTACCATAGTAATGTGTCTAGAAGCATGGGTACCACCTAGCAGCGTCCACTCATCCCTCTGTGCAAACTGTTATTAAAGGGAAAAAATATTATCATCAAATCATAAAAAATTGTTTTCTTTTTTAAAAAGGCACACCTAATTAATTAAATTGCTGAAATATCACATGAAAAAACTTAAGTTATAGATCACTCAAAATTTTGGCAGCAGCTTACACTGAAAATTCTCTAATTAATAAAACATAGTTAAACACAACCTATATGTGATTTATTATTATTATTATTATTTTAATCTTTTTGATTGGTTGGATGGAATGGAATGACGAAGGAACAAGATGGAAAAAAAAAAGAATGGTGGAATATGAAATGTGAATGTAATGAGTCCACTTACATTCCATGATCTTGTTTGGTTCAAATGTAGGAAAGAAATGAACTTCCAATAAATTCTTTCAACATAGTTGATAAGCTGACGAGCGGCCGTTGTCGCGTCAAAAATAAACCTTATTTCCACTAATCTAGCGAGTGGTAAGTAAGGGTCGGATCCAGAGGAGCTTATGGTTAATAGTTTAGTTACTATTTTGATTTAACGATAAAGAAATAATGATTGATTTGAGATTTATAAATATGATGATAAACAAATAAATATATGATTTTAATTCAATTAAAAACAATGATCGCTTCCGGTTTCAGAATTAATAATTATATGAATTATAAATGAGTGTTATTAATTTTTCATAGTCGATTTAATTAAAGTCTAAGTCCAAAAATAGAAAATAAGTGTAACCGCACCCTCCGTCCTACACACCGCTATTGGATGATTTGGCACGGTGGGGAGATCACTTAAAATTATTTTAAACTTGGAATAATTAATTGATAAATGAATAAAATAAGTGTAACGATTTTATAATGTTAAAAACATAAACAAAATCCACAAATAATATTCAACAAATTCAAATGTTCACACCCAAAAATAATACAATAAGTAAGAATTAAAACCTACTCCCGGTTGCGATCACGGGAGGATTTAGCCGCGCATTGTAGACTTATACAAACTCATATTTGTATTCTTGAATTCTTGATGTCTTGATCTTGAATCTTGAAAAGTCTTGAATCTTTGATGGCTTGAATTCTTTGAAAAAGAAAGGAATTTGGAAGACTAAAATGCTTCCAAAAAAATATAGAAATTTCCTAAAGAAGGTGGTGGTATGAAAGTAGGTTGGTATAAGAGGTATAAGAGGTATATGAGGTGTGTAAGAATGTAAGATGGTGTGTTGAAATGGTGATTTTGGGGTGGTATTTATAGTGAATTTTTGGAAAATTAAATATCAAAAAGAATGAAATAAAGCTAGGAATATTAAGCTTTTAGATTGGATCTAAGATCCAATCTAAATCTCATGAAAAAAAATTCAAAAGAATTAAAAAGATGGAATTATTGGGTTTTGTTGGGGAAGAATTTGGGTTTAAAATAGGAAAAGTGGTGAAAAAGTGGTTAAAATTGGTTGGAAAGTGTTTAAAAGATAGGAAAACCCGTAGGTTCAGCACATGGCACAAGTACTTGGAGCTGGCATCAAAACGACGTCGTTTAGGGCTAATTCTCGCGGATCCAGATCGGGTCGGAACCCGGGTCGGCAGGCGGGTCGAGGCGCGGATCTTCTGTGAGACGAAACGGATCGCGGGTCGGGTCGGAGCTGGATCGAAGTCGGATGCGGATCGGATCAGGTGACGTCACGGATGACGTCATATCCGGATAAAAGCGCGGATCCAACCCGGGTCGGAGCCGGGTATGGATCGGTAAGTTCGGATCTTTCTGTGAGGGGATCTGGTTGCGGGGGCGGGGCGGATCGGGTCTCGGATCTTCGGATCCGGGTCGCGAGATTTGAAATCTGGGCTCCGGGTTTGGGCTTCTGCTCCGGGTTTGGGCTCCGATTTTTTTGTCTTTTCTATTTTTTTTTTCTTTTCAATTTAAATTAAATTAAATTAATTTAATTAATATAAATTATTTAGAAATTAAATAATTAACTCCCAATAATTTATTTTAATTAAACCTCATTAATTAATTTAAATTCTTTTTTTTTATTTTTATTAAAAAAAACATGATTTTTATACATTATTTTTAATTTGATTTTATTAAAAATACATTTAATTAAATTAAATTATTTAGAAAATAATAAAATTATTATTTCCTAAATAAATCATTTTAATTAAATTATAATTATTTTAAAAATACAATTTTTCATTTTTTTATTTTGTTTTCTCGTCTTTCCAAACCCGAACATCTTCAAATTTTTTTTTGTTTTCAATCTTGATTTCTCTTCGTGTAATTCCTTGAACTTCTTTTTGCATCTTTTTGTACCATTTTCATCATATTTACCACCTACAAACATAATTCAAATACATGTCAAAGTAGCACCATTCTTAGATAAAATCGGTTATTTTACATAAATTATAGTATATTAAGCGTGATGTAAAATACACCGATCATAAGCCCCAATCATTTCTAATCTGCATCAGGGAGCAGGAAGTCCAAGAAGTCCAAGAATAGCCCAAAGTGTAATGTAACTTCTATCTTTTTTGCTATAGGGGTATATTGGTCTTTTTAAAAATTATGACATCTATTGGCTGTTTTGTTATGTGGGAGCACTAACCTTGTCCCAGCTCTGTTTTTTGGACCACTTCCCTAAGTCATGTATTCTATTTATTTGCTCCTTGAGGTTTTTGTTTAGTAGCTAAGAATTGATTTTTAAAGAACTTTGTTCTTCTTTGGAGAGTCCATTCCTCTCGAATGAATTGGATTATCATCTTAATATTATCAGGGTCTATCAATAGCTTACAAGAACCATCAAACATGTTCTTTCATGGAAATATTTGATATATTAAGACATCCGCTTGTGCATTTATTTATTTTTCTGCAAGCACATAAATCACTATACAAACATAAAGGATAGCATTCATCTTTCCAGTTATTTTGAAAAGCTATCAAATCCATTTTTTCATTGAATCTTGACAAGTTTCTGTCAATTTAAAGCGCATCAAGCATATGTATGGAGCTTGAGAGGAATTTCTGCAGACATATGATACAAACTATGGGAGGCAGATGATGGGTTTTTTAAGACACACAGATTACAATGGTGTTTTGGATGATAATTTATGCAAGACGTTGATGTGTTACTTTCTCTTTCAATTTAAGAAATATATATACAATAAGGTCAGTTTATTAACAAAAGTATGTGTCATTGATGTGATCAATCCTGTTGTGCAATTGGCTGTGTGTTTTTGGCAAAGTAGATAAATATGTATAAATTAAAAAGATCCAACTCACTGGGACAAAACACCACCAAAATAAAATCACCTTTCATTAGTGTTAGAAAACATTAATAAATAAATAAATAAATAACTAAAAAAAGACTGCTTAGAATCACAAAGCTGTTGAGATGAGTATTGGTCAGGTGAGTCACAAGTGTATGTCTGTTGAGTGACAAAGCTTAGCCTTGACTGCCAGCTGGAAATTATTTAGTTATGTGATGGAAAAAGGGTTTTTGGGATATTAAAGTACCTTAGGTGCCATCCTCTGGTAAGCCAGACTTCCTATGAGACAAAGCTTTGAAGTACAACTTATCTGATGAAAAGAAATAGATTAAAGATTTGACAGTTATTATCAGCTTTTTTAGATTAAAAGTAATACATAAGAATGCCATCTACCTTTGTCATCGGCGCCTTCTCCTAACCGATAATCATATCCTAATGAAACCATATTAAAGAAAGAACTGCAAAATCTTCTTTTGCTTAGAAAGTATGCTCCTGTTGTTGGCTCAAATGGAGTGAGATCTCCACCAATGATGTGATTCCATGACTTGTAATAATTTAAAGCATATTCTTCTTTTCCATCATCATACACAAAACTCACCCCACACTCCTTAATAACTGCATCACCATCATCATATTGACTCTCATTCAGTGTAATAGTAACATGGTCACCACATTCCATCTCATTCATCCCAAACATCCAATGGCTTGACAACGTCAAATACATTCCACGTAGATAGACTAGGTCAATGTAATGGTGGTATATCCAAGTGAGGTTCTTTGTAATATTACTAATTTTAATCATTGGCAAATAAATGAACACATTTCCTACAGAACCAAGCCCCTCATCCAGAACAAATCGAGATGTCAGCACACAGCATAAATTCAATCCTCTAAACGTGTTAGGAGATGATGGGATTGTAAATGAGACTGATGGCCATGTGCTTCTATCCGTAATCCAACTCGGCAACTCTTCGCCTTCATAAAGTGTGCTGAATATTCCAAATTCATAATACATCTGCCACATACAACCACATTCAGTAATTGCTACATTAATAATATATATATATATATATTCACACAAAGACAAATAATTATCTAAAGCAAACCTGGATTTCAAATTCTTCCTTTTCTCCGAAGATTGTCGCAGTTCCCACACGCCTTTTGTTAAGGATATCTGGCTTAGTCCAGCCCAAACTACATAATACCTTTTCCTCAACACCTGCCATTGGTTCGATTTTCACCATGCCTTGAAGCTCAAACGGTGAAGGTGGTAGCATATCCCATTGTATCCAGAGCTGAAGTGGGGAACTTTCTGGATCAAGTAGAAGTTTTTGCAGCATAGGCTTATCAGAATAGAGGTTCAAATGTGTGACTGTATGTGGAGGATGTTCGACTGTAGTCAACATTTTACAAAATCTCATACTAAGTGTCTCAAGCCTAGGAAGGCTTCTCACACAACTGGGGAGGGAAACGATAGGATTTTCATCTAGATATAATTCCTTTAACATTGATAGGCAACTAAAGTCCATGGGAAAGGCTTCGGTTGGCAAATTATTATTAGCAAGTGACAAGCTAACTAAAGATGTCGGTAAATAGATTGTAAAAAAACTTTGAATAATTTGGTATAGCCTCCACAACGGTAGATGGAATGGCAGATGAACAGGTTGATGTGTGTATATCTACAATCCCAATTCGAGATTCACCAAGATTACAACCAACTAGCAATAGTGTTTTTACTTTTTTTAGCATGCCGAAGCTTCTTGGAAGTTTTTGAAGCTTGCTGCAGTAGCTCAGATCAATGAAAACAAGTTCAACACATTGCTCAATTGATTCACAAACATCAAACAAACCAATGCAACCTCTAAGTATTAACTTCTCAAGTACAGGGAGGTGGTCAAAGCCACCAAGACTACGAAGTTGTTCACAGGAACTTAAATTAAGAATCTTCAATGATCCAAGCAACCATTTGTCTTTTGAGAACGATCCAATCCATTGCTGAAATTGAGAAAATTTAGAATAGTAGTGAATTTATCTACTTGACATAGAAAAGTAATAAATGGAGATAAGTTACCATTAGCCTCCTATGAAATCGTTGTGGATAGCTACAACAAAGGCCAAACGATTCAATATTGCTATACGACAGGTCAAGAACAACCAAATTCTCCATTGGTAAGTCCGATGGTATAAACTTCAAAGGGAACCCATGCATACACAACCATCTTAATTCTTCTGGAAAATTCTTGTAAGAGCCAGTTATTTGCACATAATTGAGTTGTAGAAGCATTAGTCTATCCATCTTACTCAATGCATCTGTTTTCAACTCAAGTGATCCATGTAACTTCTCTTTCACAAGCATTCTCATGTCAAGGGTGAGGCCTAGAACATTTTCTGTACCCTAAAAAGAAAGGCGTATGCAAAAATATTTTAGAATGTCATAGCCATATATATAAAAATACAAAATGATTAGAACAAATATACATGACCTATTACCTTTTTTTGTTTCAACACTTTGAATGTCTCCTCATGACACCATAATCTACTTCGTTCCCCAGGCTTGTCAGGTGATTCTTCACGTATTAAGAATCTTCCCATCTCTTGAACCAACTGATGCATCATCAATTCATTATTCCATTCGTAACTAAGAAGACATCTGTCAATAAGATTTGTGATCCCGGATCTGGTTTCTATATCACATGCCTTTAATATTGTTTCGGTAACATCTTTATCCATTCCAACAAAAAAACAAGCGATATGCTTAAACAAGTCCTTATCATTTTTTAATGGCAAAGAGTTAAAGCTCATTCTCAATGCATTACTTATAGGGGGAAAGTTTTCTTTCTTTAGTTCATCTGTGTACCCCTCCCAATAAGTTACATCACGATTGTGTAGAGACCTACCCAAAACTTTAAGAGCCATTGGATGTCCTTCACAATACTTTACTAGCTTTTCTGACACCTCTTCGTAACCTACCTTGGGATCATTGCACATAAATGCATGATAACACAACAGTTTTTGTGATTCAATCATAGATAAGCCTTCAAGCTTGTGCTCCACATACTCGGGTTTAATGTTCCTTTTGAAAAGTGCACAACTCTTTGTCAACCAGGCATTTTTTGTTGTTATCATGATTTTGGTTCCGGGATGAAAACCTTTGCTTCCAAGTAATGCATCTAATTGGTCAGGACTACCAATATCATCTAGAACTAGAAACACTTTTTTATGAGCTACTGCATTCTCTATCATTGAGGTGTATGTAGAAACATCATGAACTTGAACTGAACTTCGTTTTAAAATGTCATCATAGAGTTGTTTTTGTATATCAAGAATCCCATTAGATTTTTCATCACATCTCCCAGTGATATTTTCAATGAAACTGCTTGTGTCAAATTCATGAAAATGTAATGCATAGACATATTTGGCTAAAGACGTCTTCCCCATCCCACCCAGACCCAATATAGCGAGTAGATTTGTTGTATGTGAAGATGCATCTTTCAACCATGAAGTGACGAATTCAATGGAATTGTCCATCCCAATAAGTTGTGGCAGTGGAAACCTTGAGGGTATTCGTAATTTACGGAAGATGTCGTTGACAATTTCATCAATAAGCTCCACCTCTATCCTGGAATTTGATTTTAGTAAGAACCAAAAGAAACAATCCAAAAAACTAACATAATGCCATATTGGAGATTTAATTTTTTTAAATATCCAAATAAAAATCATAGCATATTAAGCTATTCTTTGATTAAGTTTTTAACATCATAAAGATTATCGTATTTGCACTTGTAACCATATAAGCCCATAATGTGCAAGGTCATAACTATTATCTATAATAAGACAAGAGCCACCAATGTAATAGAAGATTTCGTTAACGAGCCACCAAAATTTCAGTGTTTCTACAAAACCACCAAACTTAAATATCGATGTAGTATTGCATGAATCATAACAAAATGTTAGTCAATAGTTATAACTTAGCCTTTAGTACTTACAAGAACATTTATTTAACATAATAACAGATGATATGATTTGAAGATAGAATGATATAAAAATAGTAAAAGAAAAATACAAGCATTTTAAATTTGGTTTATTAATTGATAGCATATAAAAATCATTGAAATGGGTTATCTAAATGAATTTATATGTGATAAATAATAAATGCATAAGAAATGTGTTAAAATTAGCAAAATGGTTAACCTGCCTATATGAATTAACTTATGTAATCACATAATTGCAAAGATTAGAATCAACTTGAAGCATTTCTTTATGATTTATCCAAATTTAAACACATCAAAATATATAACAATTACATGATTATGAAGAAACATATTGAAATGCATAAGGAAAAGATGCTATTGAGTTTCATGCACTAATTTATCAATATAAAAGGAGTATGGAAATATGGGTTAGAAAGTAGTTACCTGTCATTTGCATCCTTCCCTTTTAAATCAGCAACTTCTATAAGTGCCTTATTCCATCTGTCCATCTTTTGAGCCCATTGAATTTTTTTATTTTCATCTGTCTCTGCCTCCATCTTTTGTCTATGCTTATCCATTGCATCTCCAAAGCTACTTTGTTGTTTCCTGATATGGGTGGGCTCCACATGATAAAAGATGGGAATTACAAGATGTTTGGATGTCCTACGTTGCTCAAGGATCAGCACCAGTTCATCAAGACACCATGTGGAAGTAGCATAGTTCCTGGACAACACAACAACAGAAGCCTTGGATGATTTAATTGCACTCTCCAATTCTGGTTTCAGATCTTCCCCTGTTTCAATCTCTTCATCATCTAAGAAGGTAGTGATGTTGGCATGAATGAGAGCATTATAAAGGTGATTAGTGAAACTATTACGAGTGTCAACACCTCTGAAACTTAAAAATACGTCATATCCACGACCATGAGTTGATGAAGAAGATGAAGATCCTTCTGAAATCTCATGGAGTTCAACCATTATGAGTTATGGGTTGGGGAGCCTTCACCCTTCCCAACAACCTCTGAAACTCAAAAAGTAAATAGTGCGTTCTGAAGCTTTTAGATCCCACACTTTCCTTACTTGTGCCTCAATCTCAAGATTCCATATGTAATGTCTCTACAGTCTACATAAAATCAAAATTATTAATACCTTATGCAACTTAATTCTTATCAAACAGTTTAAACCCCTAAAATAACACCTTATAGTCTTCAAAATAAAAACTGAAGTGTTTAATAAACTAGACGGATGCACCTCCAACTTTGCTGTGTGAATTAATATGATTCAGAAACAAAGAGCATATATATGGCTATTTGAATTAATATGCTTATATCAATACCGTATGCAACTTAAGTCTCATCTAACAATTTAAACCTCAACAATAGAACATTATATCTTTAAAATAAAAAATTGAAGTGATTAAAACCAAAAAAGAATTAAGTTTATTGACATGATTGTTTAAAGAGCCCCAAATTAGCAACAATAGTACTTCACCAAAACTGAGATGTCTTACAATCTAGCTTCAATAGTTCAGAAAGCTTTACAGAAAGGGAACATCACCAGGCAATTTAGTGTTACTACAAAATGAGTATATATGAGACGTAAGATGCGCTTTCATAATTCATAGTTACCTGCCTACGCGATGACAAAGAGGTCTGAAGCGTCGATGATACAAGACGATCCAACGGCAACTAGAAAGGAAGACGACTGAAAATTACAAAAGCGAACGGCGGTAAGTCTTCCGGCAAACGGCCAGTCAACGAGGAAGGGAGACGACAAGAGACGAGAATATGTTTTTCGGTTCACAAGTTTTCTTAATATATTATCAATTAGGATGAACATTAACGTTGACTGCCTTATCCTAACTCAAGCGTAAGGTGCTTGTTGAATGTCGATTCTGTGCTAATAGGTTACGTGTTTGAGGGTTTTTTTTTTCTTAGTGTACGTCCGCTTCTTTTACATGGATTAAAAAATATAATGTATTCGGATTTTACCCGCCCCAACCCCGCCCAGATCTGGGTCCAAGTCCCCTAAGTTGTTTTTTACATCTTCGCCTTAAAATTTAAATTTATTCACCAACTAGACAAGAGACACATGTATTACATTGGTTTATTTAAAAAAAATTAGATATGAAAATTTAACAATTTAATAAGTTTTAATTTATTAAAAAAATGAGAAATTTTTAAAATTATTAAAGTTAACGAGGCTTTAATACATTGAATTCATTACATATATAAACTGTTTCTAATAAATACATTACATATATATTACCTTACATATTAAATGTGAAATTTTAATTTAATAAAATAAAATACCATAAAATGATAAGTGAAAAATAGAAAATTCAAAAATTTTAGAAAATGATATGTGTCCAAATGAAGAAGAAGAGGACATGTGGCAAAAAGATTTTTGATTTATTAGGGAGGATTTTTTTTTTTACAATGTTATTATTATAGGTTTAACTGAATTTTTACTATTTTTATGATTTAATATCGAAACTGGATCGAAGTCCTTAAAGTTCTTTTTTTTAGATTTTAGATCCAATTTTATTTTACTTTAAGAATTTTGTATCTACAACTTACATTTTTCTAATTGATAATAACTTTCATTTACTTTTACCAATTTTGTTTGTTTTTATGATATTAGTACGATTTTTTTAAAGAAAAATTCAGATTTTTTGTATATGTATTTTAAACCTTTGTTTTTTTTTTCCAAATACATTTTACATGTTTTTATATATTTTATTACAATTTTGTTTTTTACAAGTTTGTTTTACATTAAAACATAATATTTTTTTCACGTGTAATTAATATATTTTAGTTATCATCGTACAACGAATGAGAAGACAAACATGTAACATATTGAGCCGCTGAGCCTTTTTGTATGGTAAAGTCAATTGTTTTGAAGACTACATCTATAGATCTAGAAGATATAATATTGTTATGAATGATCCGTTGTACTCTACTAAGAATCTCCAACGTATCCGGCGCAAGAAACCAAACGTATCAAATGCAAAATGTATGAACACATGTTGATTTACCAAATTATTGTTTTACATCTTTATTTTTATGCATTCATTTATGATATTTTTTATGCTTTTACAAAAAAAAAAATCAACTTTAATTTTATGTAACTTTAAACATTGGTTTTCTTTGGAAAATTACATTTTTGGAAATCTCTTTTATAATTTATTATTGATTTTTTCAAATTTTCTTTAAAAAAAAAAGAAATTATAAATTATTTTTTTACATTTCTATAACATTTTCTTTCTCGAAATATAATATTTTTTCAACTTTGTTTTTCAAAATTGCTTTTTACAAGATTTTTTATTCGTTAATTTAGTTTTTTTTATTCGTTAATTTAGTTTTTTTTTTATGCATCTTCGTTTTATGCATGTTTAAAAGAAGTTTACAATTTAACATAGAGTCAATATATAAGACTAAATGATGAAAAAAATCACAACTATTTCCATATTGTATATAGCCAAAGCCACCTTATGGAAATTACTTTATAATCTTTGTCTACATGTTCTGTATAATTAAACCTAATACTAATATTATAATTGCACCCAACGAGGTTATACATTCTAGTAAGATATACAATTATCAAGGTTGATGAGACAAAATGAGTAATATTTTTTAAGACTTTGCAAGTGGTATATCTATTTTATCATAAAAGTGACAACACGAGTTCGAATCCAACCTGCTTCATCTTTTGCCTAATCCAACTTTTAAATTTTGCATATTTCATCCCGTATCTATATTTTGTTTCATATTTGGTGTCATTCAACTTTTTTTAATTAGAATTATGACCGAATTTGTAGTTTCTATTTCAAATTTGATCCAAGTATTGTTTTTTTTTTCCTTTTAATTTAGACAAAAAGAATATTACTATATATTTTGTTAACTTCTTTTTTTACATTTTTTTCCAATAATTTGGTTTACAAATTCTTTTATATTTTGCAACTTTATTTTTGACGAAATCGTTTTTGTCGCACCCCCAAACCAGAACGGCGGAAACGTTCAGGGGCGGAGGACGTCATGTACAGTATCATAACAATGAACAATAGTAAACAAGCAACAACATCATCCATTGCATTAATAATATAATTTAATACAAGTGTGTTCTGTGTATAGTTTGGAAGACACCAAAATATGAATCAAAATAAAAGACGAGTCTCGAATGTGATCCGTCTTCTCAAAACCTGGTCCAGTGTACCTGTCTACTGGTGACCTGAGAATACAAGTTATTTTGAAAGAGTAGATCAGCATTTAAGCTGGTGAGTTCATAAGTATTTTTAGTGTCAAATGTTTGTATAAGTTTGATGAAAGTGTTTGTAATGTTTGATGTAAATGTTTGTAAGCGTTTGATGTAAATGTTTGTATCTCCTAGAAAATCCTATATTTTCTACTTATAATGAAATGTAGTCTTCTACCAAGACCCGACTGTTCTGTATATTTGTTCTTTTGTAAAAGTGAGTGATTTTCCCAAGAATGACTATCGTTACCTTGAATATAGTTTACATTACCGTTTATGTGAGAAGATCACAATGTGAATGTAAGGGGAAAATAAAGATGTATTGTAGTATTGTATATAGTAACTACCATTGTACTAACTACCTTAAACCAATTGTTTAATTAATGTAAAATGTGATGAGATTATAACCATGGTTGATTTACTAGTAAAACACGACGTTCAAAGACATTGAAATGGTATGACATTCGTCACCCGTAGACCTGCAGGTCCCACTATAGCTAGCAGCAAGGTGTAGGATGGTCAATCCCGTATAGATCTATACACAAATTCACGCTCTCCCCCCCCCAGGAGACTCTGGTTACAAAACGTGAAACAACAGTATATTGTCATGCCATGAAGTAATGGCTCACATTATGTCACACCCCCAAACTGAAACGGCGGAAACGTTCGGGGGTGGAGGACGTCATGTGTAGTATCACAACAATTGAATAATAGTAATCAATGCAACAACAACCATTGTATTAATAGTATAAGGTTTACATTACATTTGAATCATACACGCTTGACTCCAAAAGTAAATAACAAGTAAAGACTCGAAGCTACTATGCTCCATCTTCTTGAACTCGGTGCGTGTACCTGTCTACTAATGTCCTGAGAATACAAGTAGGTTTTGAAAGAGCATCAGCATAAAGCTGGTGAGTTCATAAGCTTTTGTTTTAGAAAGCTGTTCTTTGTCCTTTCGAAAAGTAAGTTATGTTTCTCTAGAAAAATTTATATTTTCTAATGTAATGAATGTATAAACCTTAAGTAAAAATGATTCTTACCAGTTCCTCCTGTGAGTACTTAGTGTATACAAATCATATACAATCCAGATCGAACAAACAATTGATTGTGTGGTTCTGCCCCAAGCCCACAACCAAACAAGGAACAGGAAGTGAGGCGGAGGCCACACATTCCACTGGTTGTCGGATCCTTATGTACATAATCCTGAAGTATTCACTAGATACGTACAAAGTTAACTGTATTGATTCTTTGATATCTGTTGAAAATGTTCCTCAAGAAAATCCAATGTTTTCTTATGAAAAGTATGATTAATACCATTCTTTCTATAACTTCTTGGTCCATACTAGTTACGCATAAACCAATATCGAATAGACGGTTAATTGTGTGGATCTGCCCTAAACCTACAATCAAACAAGGAACAGGGAATGAGGCGAAAATCACACATTTCACAGTCTATCGGATATTCTTCATACGTGACACGGATGCATAAACTAAGGAATTATAGAATTAATAATGAATATTCGTTAATTGAATAATTAACCGGTTATTGTAAGTACTGATGTTTACCCTGGAAAATCCTATATTTTCCCTAAGTGTAAGTTATTGAATTATCTGTTCCAAACCAAATAGTATAAGTATCTACTATACTTATGTTGTTTAAGCATTGTTCTGTTTGAATACTAATATGAAAACCTTTGTTCGAATACCTTTGTATGAAAACCTTTGTATGAATACCGTAGTGTGAATACCGTAGTGTAAATACCGTAGTGTGAATACCAGAGTGTGAATACCGTAGTGTGGATACCCTCATGCGATCACTTAGTACATACGAGTTATAGAAATCTGGATCGAACAGACAGTCGATTGGGTGATTCTGCCCTAAGCCCACAGCCAAACAAGGAACAGGAAATTAGGCGGAGATCACACATCCCACTACAATTTGGATGTTAATTTCATATTACCCTAGTGTATATACTAAGTAATCACATAGTTACTAACCCGAGTGTCTGTTTGTTAGGTGTATTATTATGTGAACGAGTCGTTGTTTCACCTGTGGATTCTTATAACCATACTATGGACGCTCAAAAGTAAGACCTACTCAGACGTACGTCGATAAAAATGACGTTTATCACCCTCGGTTGACTGTAGCTAATAGTCAGGGTGCGGGATTGTCACTCCCGTATAGATCTATACACAAACTCACGCTCTCCTCTCAGGAGACTCTGGTTACAAGGCCTCTCACACTGTTGGCTCTCTCAACGAAATTCACGAATAATACTATCAAAACCCTTTTTGTTATGAATCCTTATAAAATAATGTATTTTAATTCATAATTCATAAGTTTGTTACGTCTGTTCTGAAAATTGTATTTGTAATGTTTGTATTTTTAACATGTTTTGTAAAACTGATTTCAAGTCTAGTGGTGACGACGTTTACCATGTATGCAATTTCTATGTTCAATGTATAATAGTAATAGGAAAATATAATAAATCAAATTATATTTTAAACACAAGGTTACTTGTGCTTTTACTTGTA